TAAACTGTAATAAATACTATTTTTTCCAAATGAGATGTAACCTCTCAATGATCTAATAATAAGATATGAAAACATTGTATTCAAAAACAATAGATTATATCTTTATAATAAAATAAATCTATAAAATATAATAAATAACAGAGATTTTCTTTTTTTTTTTTTTACAATCTCAGTGTTCACTCACAAAGTCCACCCTGTCTTCAGCCAGCCAGTGGAAGCACTTGAGGAAAAGCAGCAAAGTGAAAAGGGCCACAAAGCGAGGAGAGAAATCATCCCTGAAGACTGTAAAGGCTAAACAGGTCTCGGTCACCGCATACCAGGAGCGTTCAATCAGATGCTAAAAACAAACAATATACAAATGAGAACGACAAAAAAAACAAATTTCCTGCCTTTCCACACTTTGCAAATTTAGACACCAACCTCCATTTCAGCAGCTCTCAGTTGCCCAAAAAAAACTTTCCGCATTAATTTCCCCAAAAGGAAAACCAAAACGAAAGCCTGAATGTATAAAACCTACCGAAGAAATAGTAAACAAGTCAAATCACAGAGTTTACAGTCCCTTTCCATAAAGATCTGACATTAAATAAACGGATGACAACTTACTGCCATGCTAGGGCTGCTTTTAGTGAGGTATACCACAGTGGGGTAGAACTGGTGCTTGAGGAAGTAGGCATGAGCAACCACTGCGCCAGTCAGCACCAAACTGGTGCCTGTCGCAAGAGCGGCTCGCACCATCTTGCACTACAGAGGAGACAGAACAAATAAATCAGAACGACATGAGGTTCAGACTGAATCAATGATGAGGGCAAAAACATTTCAACATAATGTTGACAGGCCAGTATTACAACACCATTCATATGCTGTAAAAATGAATGCTATTTACATGTTTGGGAAAGACATTTCCAGTAAACTGAAGTGAAAGTAAGGGCCCAAGTTACAGTATGCATATGCATTAAAAAACTAGGCCTATCATACACATTCCTAAGAGCACGTATGAGCTAAATTAAGCTTTTGTTACACTGTATTATTTATACATTTTGTCTGTTAAATGGTTGGGTACAGACTGTTTGAAAGCAGCACCAGTTAGCTGCACAGTTGAAGGCTACGAAAGACAGTATTACAGCTGTAATTAATCTACGATACAGATAATAAACACTAACTAAATCCGCCACAGCATGTTTTAATAACCGACCATATGCTGCTATGTATGAAGTCGGGAGTGGACTGGCCGACTAGCTAGAGCAGTCATGACTGACATGACACGCTGTGTGTCTTACCTTCAGCCGCAGCAATCCGCTATTTCTGCTTTAGAAAGATGGCCTATGTTGAGTTTTGCTACTAATAACTGCGTCTTATGTCTATCCTTCCATCTAAAGCAGTCGTGTCGCTTCCAATCTCTTGTAGTCGCAGCCGCTCGACGGTTACGTGTTTATTTTTCGCTTGCTGTCGAGAAAGGCCACCTCACTTCCGGTGCAGAGGAAGTTGCTAAAGGCGGAACGATTTGTTGCTAAAAGTTGCGAAGTGACGCTTGACGGCACGGCGTGATGACGTCATTACGTAATCGCAACGCAAAACTACATCTTTATGTAATATACAGAAAACACAATGAGTTTTCTCAAATTGACTGGCCACCTCAGCAAAAACATTATTAAAAATGTTAATTTAGATTTGTTTGAAAAAAGTTATATACGTGTAG